TGCTGCCACCGTCCCCAGCGCAATCTTTGCAGCTCTCATTGGCTGGTTTTGATGATTGTACTGGGGGCAAGGGCAGTATGTGAAATCCCCCTCCCACCTCAGGTGTGCAGTGCAGAGAGGCACATGGATAGCCAGCTGCTTTGAGTGGCCTGGGGCTGTGGCAGGCAGAGATCCTGCCTGAGGGTCTCGCTGGGCTGCTGGCTAGGTAAGTGCCTCCTGGCCAGAGTTTACCTCTGCCACCCCACCCCATCCTACACCCTGACTCCCTATCCCAGGTGACAGCTCCTTCCCAGACACTGAACCTCCTGCTACACTCCTCTCTCAGGCCAGAATCTTCTCCTGCACCCCAATTCCCTACCCTGAGCTTCCTCTTGCACCCAACCTCCATCCCACACCCTGCACCCCCTCTATGGTCAAGTGCAGCTCTTGACAACTTAACAAAATCATGGAGTCGTCGTCGTCTCCCCCCCCCCCCGGCATCAAAAGTTATTGCCCACCTCTGTATTAGGGGCACTTAAATCTGAGGTTGCTATTGAATCCCTTTCTTTCATACTTGTTAGATTGCTGTCCCATCTGGTTAACAAACTGCAAGCATGGAGTAGGTCGACGTTCCTTCATAAAGGCCTAAGATTTTCCTAGCTGGTTTTCAGCTGTCAGTGGCTAAACATACAAAATTGCTGGCTGCAGTATTATCCAATTCTGGCGTATATGCAGGAATGTCAGATTCTGTGGTAACACAGGCAGGAGCCATGGGTGAAAGCAGCTTAAACACTGTTTATCTGATTTCATCCTGGTGTATGGTCTGCCTGCCTCCTCAGTTGGGCTGTTGATTTGGCATTAGGACCTGTCTTTTCTCAACACCGAGAAGCACATCTGAATTGGCCCTGTTGCAAGTGTGTCCATACTTATTCGCCTAGGTCCAGGACGTCCTTTCCCCTTGTATGATCAGAATGCAGCTATCCTTTCAGAACAAACAAGAGCTGGGGATTTGCATTGGAGCCTCCCTCTTGTACCAGAAGGCGGGATGCTCTGGGAGGTACCTGTCCCTTAGTAACCCTTCCTGGGTTGTGTGAATTATGCCAGCGGGCAGTATGAAGCTGAACTGAGGGGTGTGGCGATCCGTGGGCATGCTTACCTTCCCCACTGATGACACACTTTTGGCTTAGCCACCCTTCTGTAATGTAGCGCTGTGATTGAGTCCTGTGACTTGGGAGGAGCATCGCAATCCTATTACATGCTCAGCATCACTGCCCTAAAAACCCTCCCACTCCTCTGCTGACCTTTTAATTATAGCTAAATTCAAGTGTCCTGTCCCAGGTGTTGTCGGTGGGTAGTAAGCAGTATCCTATCTGTCTGCAGCAAACCAGCACATTTCTTTGGTGTGTTTTCTAAGATTGGTCCTTAGCCATTCTTCAGAGCTCTGTTGAGTTAACCCTCCTCCTCCCCCGTTTGTGCTAATGCAGTGGTTCTCAGCCAGTGGTACTTGTACCTCTGGAGGTACGCAGAGGTTTTCCATGGGGTACATCAACTCCTCTAGATATTTGCCTAGGTTTACAACAGGTTACATGAAAAGCGCTACTGAAGTCAGTACGAGCACTTCATACAAACAGTGACTTGTTTATACTGCTCTGTATACTACACACTGAAATGTAAGTGCGATATTTATACGCCAGTTGATTTATTTTATAATTATATGATAAAATAAGAGCAACTTTTCAGACTTGGAATGCAGGAACTTCTCTCACTCCCCAGGGAAACATCCACAGTGATGTAACACAGGAAGCGAGGAAGAATTCACTGTCTAGTGGAAGCAGCAGCGGTCCCATCTCTGAAATGGAATGCCCCAAAAAGGCGTTTGTCCGAGACAGCAGAGGCCAACACCCTGGGGCTAGCGCACAGTGCTAGGGAACCTTTAAGAAGGTGACTCCATGAATCACTGTGGTCATTCCCATAGCACCTGTGTTTTCTATACAGGTCACCCACCCAAGCAGTGGCCAGCCTTGACTGTGATTAGCTTTAGCTATTAAGATCACAGTCCTGGGCAGTAGAGTTTTAACCAGGGAAGGGATGAGATGGGCTTTGAAGTGTCACAAGCAATGTGCTTCCCGCTGCGCTCAAGTGAGCTAAGAAAGGAGTGAACCTAGAACTGGTTTTTAAGCATCCTGCGTGGCTACATGGGGAGCAGCTTCTGTAGCTGAGCTGCTGGTGTGAATCAGAAGAGCTTGTGGCTACTTTGGTTCCTTTGCCAGACCTCAAGATTCGTATATACTATTCGGGTCTCGGTAATCACCTCTTAATATAACAGTCCTCCTCTTGGCTCGTCCTGCTGTGTCAGCCACCCCCATGCCTTTCTTTCGAATAACGCCCACCCCAGAGCCCACCGGTTTGCTCTGTGAAGTGGGCTGTGATCTCACCAGCTCTCCTGTGCGGTGCAAGTGCTTTAATGCTCAAGATACTAGATATTATGTCAGAGGTCCCCAAAGTATGGGAAGGAATGTTTGGAGGTGTGTGTGGCTGGGGACCAGGTCATCCTCCACAGGGGACGCAGGGAGGGAGAGCCACCCAGCTCTGCTCCAGGTTTCAGCCCCGGCTGCTGGCCCTATGCACAGCATCTCAGCTGCTGGCCCCACACAACATTGCTGATCCCATGCTGGGTCTTCACTTCCAGCTCGACCCGACCCTCTGCTTCAGCTACCTTATCCTGTCCGGGTCTGTCCCTGGAGTTGCAGCCCTGCTCCCAGCCCCAGCTCTGGGGGGGTGGGAGAAGACAACAAGGTCAGAGGGGTGAGGTAAAAAATTTGGAGACAACTGCATTATGCAGAAAATGGACAAAAACAGGTAATCACATTGCAGAGAGAAAATTTGTTGCAACTGTGTCTTCAAAAGCGTGGTCCATACTGGGGATTCTCACTCTGATGCACTGAGCATGTTTCTACTTCTTCCGCCCCTGTTCCATTTATCATAGTCTGGGTTGCAATTTTTGTGGGATCATGGAGCATACTGGGTGGGGCTGATTAATCACCTGTGAGGCTTGTGCTACCATGCAGCTTAGCGGGAACACTGGATCACGTGATGATTACCTATTCTGTTCACTCCCTCTGGGGCACCTGGCTTTGGCCACTGTGGGCTGACAGGATACTGGGCTAGGGTGGACCTTTGGTCTGACCCAGTCTGGCTGTTCTTATGTTTGTGTCCTGGTCATTGTGTTTTGTCAAGTTATTAAAAAGGTATGGAGTGTTGAAACAGAAAATCAGAGCCACTCTGAGGCCAGTCATATCATTTTTTATCCTCTTTCCATTTGCTATTTTTTTTCAAACCTTGTCTTCTATCCATTGCTTGCCTTTGCCCTGCCCTCTGAAACTTCAAGCCTTAGAAACTTCCATTGTTGGCAGACTCTTAACTAATCTGCGGCTACACCAACTTGGTAATGCATTGATTATTACATGCATTGGTAATCACTGATCATTACAGGGATAGAAAATAGCATTGGTCCAGGAGCTTTGTAGTTAGTTTGGGATCACTGCTGTAAAAAGCTTTGCTAGTTTGAAGGACTAGTGGCAAATTCAAGATTTGATGTATTGTGAACCAGCAAGGCTGCGGAACCAGGGCGTAGGCCATTGGAAAGCCAGGAATCCTGGCTTACTAGCTTCTAGCGTTGGTGGGGTCCAACCTGAATTGTTTCTCCCCAATTGGGTTCCAGTATGATTTTAGTGACCCCTGCCTAAAGAGCTGCTATATTTAATAATAAAATGTTCTCAACTGTCTGGAAGCTGGGGCTCTCAGCTTTCAAGTGTTATAAAATATTAATCGTGAATGGTTAATGGGTTACCAGCTGCTTCAATCACACTGAAATTGCATTAGCAAGGGGATAAGAAGAATGACATGACTTTATGGTCTGGTGTCTCAGAAGCCATCAACAGCACCTTTGAGACCAGAGATGCTTGTGGCAAGTGTCAGAAATTATTCAGATCACACTAGAGCCAGGCCTTTGACTGCCAGTCCTGGAAAATTACAGAAATGATGCTGGGTGTCACAGGGACTTGGTAATGGGATGTGGGGCCTTTGAAAACTAGCTTGGGTCAGGAGTTATCCAGAGTTACCATCTCTCGGTTATTCAGGAATGTGGCCCATGCAAAGTGCGTTTGGTGGATCCTTACTCTGTGAGAGGTGTCTGCTTTCAGGGATCACGGACTGTGGTGTGGTCAGTGAGAGGTGGCTGCCTGCCTGCCTTAGTCTGTCTCTGACATGGGTAACTTTCAGGGCATTAAAAGCAGTTGAGCTTTCCTGCTGTCTGTCTGCTGAGCCATTCCACTGTCCTGGCCCAAACTGCAGAACCACAGCACCCGTGACTAGAACCCCTTCCCTCAAGGAAAACCACAAAACTGCACGGACTGTGGTGTGGTCAGTGAGAGGTGGCTGCCTGCCTGCCTTAGTCTGTCTCTGACATGGGTAACTTTCAGGGCATTAAAAGCAGTTGAGCTTTCCTGCTGTCTGTCTGCTGAGCCATTCCACTGTCCTGGCCCAAACTGCAGAACCACAGCACCCGTGACTAGAACCCCTTCCCTCAAGGAAAACCACAAAACTGCTAGGAAATGATCTGAAGCCACCAACATGAGGACAAAAGTCTCATGACATGGCCGACCCACGTCAGCTGACTCAAATTCATGGGGCTAAAGCTGGCTGTACCGGTGTGGGCTGGAACCCAGCCTGAGAGACCCTGCTGTGTCTGCACAGTAATTTTTCAGCCTTTTGGGCATCTGCACATTTGTTATCCCCATATACTTGCAGAGGGAGAGGACAACAGAGGGCACCAGCTTTTGGGTATTACTGCACTGGATTAGATTAAGAACATAAGAACGGCCAGACTGGATCAGACCCTATACAACTCCCAGTCCTTGGCAAGGTTGGCAGATGGGCCCAGTGCATTTCAGTGTGTGACATGCAGTAAAATGTGGGCTTGTTTAAATGTAAAACGCTTCTTCCTTGTGTCTTATTCTTAGCTACCCACTGCTTAAGCTTCCCTTGCCTGGAACAGGCCCTGTGGAGTACAGCACCCCTGTGAAGGATTACTCGCCACCTTCTTCAGAGCAAGGCCCCCAGCAAGGAGATCCTAATGAGAGACCTGATTGGGTAGGTCTTTGTGTGCGCCCGTGTGTGTATTGCTGCCCCCTGTTGACCAGTGTGTGCGTGTGCGCACCTGAGCAAAGGTGAAGGGGTGGGGAGCAGAGCGTTCCCTCTGATAGTTTACACCTGAATGTAATGCGCTGAGGAAGTGCTTGCAGTTCCTGCACCTCGCCTGCCTATTCAATTCAGGCCTGATGCTCCTGTCGTCAGACTCAAACACTGTCCGCAGACCCAAGTTTGGATCTTTAGAGTGAGTGGGTGAAACCTTTCGAATCCTGTTTTCCTGCTTAGCAGGAGCCTGCGTTCCCAGGGGAGACAGAGAACTGTCTCCTGAGCCAAGGATTCATTTTGTTTGCTGCATTTTTTCAAAATTGTTCTTCAGCTTTTATACTCCCAGGCCTCCCTTCAGTAGAGGCTGCCAAATTCATTAACATTCTGGGTAGATCGAGGTCTCCCAGCTCTTCCAACTGAGGCTGAAGCCGCTTGCCTTCCTCCAGGCTCCTGCAGACACTCCAAGGTAGCCAGCCCCACAAGTAGCTCACATGTACAGGGCTGTAGGCTTAGCCTGCAGCTGGCTGAGGAAAGCTTCTCTTCAGCCATGGCCCTCAGGTCAGCTGCTAGATCCCCAAGGGTATGGTTACTAGAGGCCACTCCCACCCCACATCCGCATTCAGCCTGCTGGAAAGGGATGAGAAGAGCTACCAGGAGAGGGGGGAATGCGAGGGATTAAAAACTATGACGCTAGAGAGAAACCAGCAAATGGGAAGAGGAAAACAGGCCATGCTTGGATGGCACAAGTGGAGTGCATCCATCCTCCACAAGGGAGAGGACTGCAAGAAGGAAGGGTTAGGAGGATTCTGTAGGGAGTTGCAGGAGAGGGCCCCGCTCACCCTTCAGTCTTGCAGACTCCACTGTCTCCAGAAGGTCATCTCTCGCTCTCTGCCTGTTTTCCCCACAGTACCTGGGCGCTCCCGTGGCCTACATCCAGCAGATCTTGGTGAAAGCCACGGTCTCACCATGGCGCAAGAACTTCCTTGCTGTGGATGTGTTCCGCTCGCCGCTCTCCCGTGTCTTTCAGCTAGTGGAGGAAATCAGAAACCACGCCTTGAGAGACAGGTAAACTCCCTCTGCTGGTGTCACACTGAGGCCCCCACCCCACCCCCCGGCCCCCCCCCCCACGCCGTCACCCCCCGGCCCCCCTCCCGATGCAGTGCTCTGCGGGTCTAGCCATCAGGATTGAACTCCTTAGCTCCTGGAAATAAGGAAAGCAAGAAACTAGATGGGATTTTGGGTGTATGGTGTCACATCCTTTCCAGCAAAATGCAGGACAATGTAGCACTTTAAAGACTAACAAGATGGTTTATTAGATGATGAGCTTTCGTGGGCCAGACCCACTTCCTCAGATCAAATAGTGGAAGAAAGTAGTCACATCAGGATTGAACTCCTTAGCTCCTGGAAATAAGGAAAGCAAGAAACTAGATGGGATTTTGGGTGTATGGTGTCACATCCTTTCCAGCAAAATGCAGGACAATGTAGCACTTTAAAGACTAACAAGATGGTTTATTAGATGATGAGCTTTCGTGGGCCAGACCCACTTCCTCAGATCAAATAGTGGAAGAAAGTAGTCACAACCATATATACCAAAGGATACAATTAAAAAAAATGAACAAATATGAAAAGGACAAATCACATTGCAGAACAGAAGGGGAATGCGGGGGGGTGGGAAGGGGGAGGAAGGAAGGTAAGTGTCTGTGAATTGATGATATTAGAGGTAGGGAGAGTGGGATGTTTGTGAGTTAATGGTATTACAGGTGATAATTGGGGAAACTGTCTTGATAATGGGTGAGAAAGTTCAAAGACTTGTTAAGTCCCTGGTGGTAAGTGTCGAATTTTAACATGAATGACAGTTCAGAGGATTCCCTTTCAAGTGCAGATGTAAAAGGTCTTTGTAGCAGAATGCAGGTGGCTAAGTCATTTAGAGAGTGTCCTTTCTGGTTAAAGTGGCAAGAAACTGTTTTCTCTTTGTGATCTTGTCTGATATCTGTTTTGTGGGCATTAATCCTTTGGCGAAGTGTCTGAGATGTTTGTCCAATGTACATAGCAGACGGACACTTTCGGCACATGATAGCATAGATTATATTTCTGGATGCGCAGGAATATGTGTTCTTGATCTTATAACTCTTCCACACCCTATAATAGACAAGCTGCCTGTGTTGTGTTCAGAAAGAGTTTTCAGTTGGCTTCCGGTCACAGCCTTGGACTCATGTCCTTGCCGCACAGTGTTGTCTTCAGTTCAGCTGCCCCTTTAACACACGTAGGGATCACTGTCTAGTGATGACGCACGTTTGTCAGTGACAAACCATCTCCTCCTGTTGTTCACAGTATCTGTGATCACTGTGATGATGTCCTTGACAGGCAGCCACGCTTCATAGAAATGAAACAAGACATTGTGTGCGCTCAGCCCAGCTAGACTTCAACTCAGGGACAAGTGGCAGAGAAATAATTTCCAGACCAGATGTTCTTGGATGAAATCTGAAATCAATAATACAGCAGCACCATGTTCCTGGGGCTTGCTGCTTATTTTTTCACATCAAATTTCACATATTTTAGTCTGCTCCAAAATTGTTAAAGTGCTGCAAAAATACTGTGTAAGAAAAAGCTTATCTGCATGTTGAAGCTGTCATTGGGAGGCTGGGCATCTGGGTGGGGGTAGCCAAAGCTTTTTCCATCCAGAAGATATAGGAGACAGGTTGCATTTTGACCCTGGGAAACAGTTAAGATTGTAGGCAGTTGTCTCCTCTGGGCAGAGATAAGGATGACCTGAAATGTTTGGAGTGGTTTGAACACCTGATTCCAGACCCCAGCAACCTTCAGGGTGGCTAGCCACTCCACTGTTCCACTCTCCATTGCTGCCTCCAGCATTGAGACACAAACACCTGAGCCATATAGAAACTGATCAGGGATGACATAGTGAATATTGTTGATGAGAAGTTTGTCATCACTAGGTTTCAGAGTCAGTGCCTGATTGAGAGGACAGAGTTCTTGCTGAGCGCTCTGGAGACTCAGGCAGGCCTCAGTTTTTCAGTCCTAAGGTTGTCTTTGCCCCCAGAGGAAGAGAAATGTCATTTTTTTCTGAAGGAAAAGCCTAGATTTTGCTGTGTAGCTTTGCAGCTGGACATGGACATTATCCTAATTCAGGGCTAGTAAACACGTGGGCCACATGCAGCCCTCAGCCTGTTCGTTTGCAGCCCACGGTGCAGTTTGGGTTTATGCAGGGCTCAGCACGCGGCCTGCGAGTGGGAGCCTTTGAACGTGGCCTCCACTGGGAATACAATACGCTCCACAACAGCGAGGCATCTCCCAGGCAGGGTGAGAATTGAAAGATGTAAGCAGACGGGTTGTCTGGAACAGACAGATACAGAGTGTTGGCATTTCTAGCCTCCAGGGAGGAGGTACCAGAAGCACTGGAGCATTGTGTAAACAAAGGTATTTGCATATATTTGCATATATGTTTGCATGTATATGCAACCACACTTAAATTGTGGCCCCCGGCATGTGCTGTGAATATCATTATGGCCCCCAGGGCTTCTAAAGTTGAGTTGCCCTGCCTTAGATCCTGCAAGTTGCCTTGGCTGTGCACATTCACAAGGAAGTACTGCTCTCTTTTTGAGCAGCACTAGCCAACCCTTGACCTGGCAGCCTATCTGCCACTTGGCCTTGCACAATCAGACAAGTGCCAGTGTAGGCCCAGGCTGAGTGAAGTCCGATGTGTATCTGATTTGTTAGTGGGATTGTGCAAGCACGTAAAGCGTGGCTTAAACTTGTGTAAGAAATGTCACTTTCAATTGTTAATGGCAGTGTAAGCCTGCCGTTAACGTGAGTTCACACAGCTTAACCCCCCAGGAGAGCAACACTTTGCCGTGCTGTGACAGGTGCTCCAACATTGGGGCCTGATCCTGCAGATTGTGCTCACATCAGTGATACGTACTGGCATACTGGTCAGACCAAAGGTCCGTCTAGCCCAGGATCCTGTCTGCTAACAGTGGCCAGTGCCAGATGCCCCAAAGGGAGTGAACAGAACAAGGAATGATCAAGTGATCCCACCTTGATTGCCCATCTCCACCCTCTGACAAACAGAGGCCAGGGACACCATTCCTACCCATCCTGGCTAATAGCCGTTGATGGACCTAACCTCCATGAATCTACCTAGCTCTTTGTTGAACCCTGTTTAAGTCCTGGTCTTCACAACATCCTCTGGCAAGGAGTTCCACAGGTTGACTGTGCCGTGTGAAGAAAAACCTCCTTTTGTTTGTTTTAAACCTGCTGCCTATTCATTTCATTTGGTGATCCCCTTGTTCTTATGGGAACAAGTAAATAACTCTTCTTTATTCACTATTTCCACACCAGTCATGATTGTATACACCTGTACAGATCATATTCCCCCTTAGTCTCCTCTTTTCTAAGCTGAAAAGTCCTGGTCTTTTTAATCTCTCTTCATATAGGACCCGTTCCAAACCCCTCACATCATTTTTGTTGCCCTTTTCTGAACCTTTTCCAGTGCCAAATAGAGTAGAGTCCTGTAAGCAAGGGCTGATGGCTTGTGCCTGCGGTTTGGAAATGCTAACCCATCCAAGCCGGATATGACCTTCAGGGCAGCACTGCATCCCCATGTTTTCACACAGCTGGGGGCATCCTCTTTGCTGTGCTTTGTAGCAGAGTTCAGAAGAGATTTTGCTGAGTTCCTTGTGCTGAACAGTTTTACTCCTGCTGTTTTCTTCAGCACCTGTGCGACCCCGATTGGAAATATTGAGGGAGGTTTGTATTATTATCTCCCATTAGCAAATGAGGAAGGAGGAGGCAGAGAGGTGAAAGCCCAGGTTTTCAAAAACCCCGCTACTTTGTAATGTCATGCTCCTGGGGACTGATTGTAGAAGCGTTGAACATACATGGTTAGCTGTGGGTGCCTGGCACTTCTGACAGTGAGGCCCTGCGTGTCTCAAGTTGGGCGCTCAGAACTGAGGCCCCCAGAATTAATGAAATTGTGCATCCCCCAGCCGGGGAATGAGTGAGAACGAGCGCTCGGGCATGCACGAGCTGCTTGGGAGTACAGTAACACGCTGCAGCTTCTGGTCTCCACCTGCCTTTCAGTTCTGGGATCCGAAGTTTGGAGGAAGTCTGCCTTCAAGTGACAGATCTCCTGCCCAGCTTGAAGAAGCTGCGAGACCTGCTACCTGAACATGGCTGCCTCCTGCTGTCGCCTGGGAACTTCTGGCAGAACGACCGAGAGCACTTTAACTCGGACCCCGATATCATCAAAACCATCCACCAGCACGAACCAAAGACACTGCAGACATCAGCTACCCTCAAAGGTAGGTGGCTGAGTGGAACAGGTGCTGGATGGGGTCCAGTCTCTCCTGAGCTGATTGCCAGCAATGCTGAGTGGGGCAGAGTCTGGCCTAAGGCCACCAGGCTCATTTCACCAAGGGCTTTCTGTCTGGATGAGCCTGCCAGAGGTGAAAAGTAGGAGTTCTAACTTCAACAGCCTGTGGATATGGGGAGAATATCTGTGGATAGCCAACAGCCCCCCCGACTCTTCATCTGAATTACTGTTGAGAACTACATTGCCTGGGGTGGCCGATGCCAGCGATGTGGGGATTGTCATAGGAGAGGAGTGAATGTTCCTCTTGTCCATGCATTGGTGGTTGCCGGGCGTGACCACCTGCCTGCCCCTCCTCAGGTGGGCTCCTGCTGCCAGTGAACATCTCTTGGAATCTGACCATGGCTGAGGTCTTGTTGGTTCCATAGAGCTGCTGGCTTGTTCACCCCTTTCTGTAGAAAGGGTCCAGTTGAGGTCAGGACCCCTGTAATCCCTGTGGCCTAAAAAAGGGAGTTCCTGATGAGGTTCAGCTCTACAACACCCCACAGGGAGACACGGTTCCATCCTGGACACCTCTCCTTGTCCTGAAACAAGCAGAAAATGAACAGGCAGGCTGCAGGAGCCCCAGAGAATGTGCTGATGTAGTGCGTGGATGTGGAAGTGTGCACAGGAATGGCAGGGGGTCAACACTGCACTAGTTAGATTGAGCAGAGGAGGCCGGGCTTCATAATCAAAGCACCAACGTGGAAACCCCCGCATCTCCTTGAAACCACAGCTGCAAGCCTCACTCAGGCATTGCTCTCTCCCAAGGCAGGTGACGGGAGTTCCATTTCACTCTGTGGGAGGCAGGGATGTGGGTTGGAGAGAGCCCTGGAAAGCGAAGGCCCTCCTGCTCTGTGGGGACCTGGTAGCCCCTGTAATAAGGGGGGGCTGTGTGTTACTGCATCCTACCCATGTGGTGGTGAACACTCTTGTATTGTCCCTCGCTGGCCTTTGTCCAGGCTGATGGTGGTGTGCTCCCATTGTGTGTTTGCAGATCTCTTGTTCGGAGTCCCAGGGAAGTACAGCGGTGTGAACCTGTACAACAGGAAGCGGGTGGTGTCCTACACCGTCACACTGGCCCTCCAGCGATACGATTCCCGGTAAGGCACTTGGGCTCTGCTGCTCCCATGTCGGTCCACCCTCGGGCTCCCTTCTTCGTCTCCGAGAAAGCTAGTTGTTTCTCCAGCCCGCTGGTTCTCATTTTTCGCCCTTCCACTGTTCTGGCGAGAGCAGTACAGAGCACATTGAGCTGCTCCAAGGGTAATACCCAGTGTTACCATCTTCACAGTCCTGTCACTTCAAAAAGGCTGGCACACCCAGGAGCCACCCTCCCCCCAGCCTTCCTCGGCTGATGGCTTCTCCTGCCCCCGACCACACTGGTCTTTTCAACACACCTTTGTAGCAGATGGAGTCATTGCCCTCCTGGAGTTGGCTTTAGGCCAGTTCCTGGGGGGATGAGCTTCCACATCCCAGTGAGCAACTTCCAGCTGGCACTGGGCACGCTTCCTTGGGGGCAGTCTCAGCGGAGAGGGCACGGACAGAATGGGATTGAAGAGTGAATGCTCCTCCTTCCTCTAGTGGCTCTGCCAGGACAGTCTGAGGTACACTGGCAGGCCACCTGGTAGATGTGTTTCACACTGCAGTGCATTGGGGAGAGAGGCCTACACTCTCCAGGACAGTCTGTTAGCATCATTCATCTGCACTGCGTAACTAACACCTGCAATGGGAACGTGTTTGACCCTATAGCACCTGCCATCATCCAGGGCCAGGGGTCTTAGTAAACACCAGCTTCCTTCTGTGAACACCTTTTAATGAGGGCTTGCAGCTCCCCTCTTTGAATCCTCTGTAAGTCTCATGGGGTATGTCTACACTACCACCCTAGTTCGAACTAGGGTGGTTAATGTAGGCATTCGAACTTGCAAATGAAGCCCCGGATTTGAATTTCCCGGGATTCATTTGCATGGTGCCGGGCGCCGCCATTTTTAAATCCCCGCTAGTTTGGACTCCGTGCCTGCGGCTACACGCGGCACAAACTAGGTAATTCAGAATAGGCGTCCTATTCCGAACTATCTGTACACCTCGTTCCACAAGGAGTACAGATAGTTCGGAATAGGACGCCTATTCCGAACTACCTAGTTCGTGCCGCGTGTAGCCGCAGGCATGGAGTCCGAACTAGCTGACATTTAAAAATGGCGGCGCCTGGCAACATGCAAATGAAGCCCGGGAAATTCAAATCCTGGGCTTCATTTACAAGTTCATATGATGACATTAACCACCCTAGTTCAAACTAGGGTGGTAGTGTAGACATACCCATGGGGACTTGGTGATACGCTGACAAGGACTGAGGTACAAAACCCAGACAGGCAGAGCTGGCCTTGCTCTTGGTTACTGAGTGTTGCTAAATCTACAGAGCCATGTTCCCTGTGGGCCGCAGCCTGTGAGCCCTCCGCTGAGGAGGGGGGTAAAGGGTACAGCATAGCACCAGGGCCACCTCCTTCTGCCTTTCTCCTGCGCCAGGTTTCTCACCAGCCTCCGCTCCCGTCTGAAGCTGCTGCACCCTAGTCCCAACTGCACCCTGCGGGAGGAGCATGTCGTTCACGTCCACTTCAAGGAAGAGATTGGCATCGCTGAGCTGATCCCCCTCGTCACCACCTACATCATCCTCTTCGCTTACATCTACTTCTCCACACGTAGGTTTGTGGGGAGGAGGGAAAGCGAGTGCCCCAGCACAGCTGGTGCAGTGCACCCTACCCCCACAGATAGGGCGGGCAAAGGACCTAGTCTCCTATCATCCCTGAAGCCAGGTGAAGCTGACAGTGCACTGGGACGTAGGATTAGGGCATAAAGGGCAAGAAGCCCTTAGCTACCCATTCCCTGAGCACAGTGCAGGGTGGTTCCCTACAGGGCTCTGACCTGTGCAGTTTGAAATGCTCCAAGCGATGGCACATCCTTTGCTTCTCCTGGGGGACCAGCCTATTGCCAGAATGATCTCACATTTCGTCTGGGTTTGTGCTGTCATGACCTGCCGCTGAGCTGAGTTAGGCACCCTCCTTTGCCACCTTCCCCGGAGCTGGAGTGAGAGTCTGCAGCCCAGACCGGCATGGTTCTCCTCTGCTGTGCCTTTTGGCTGGACCAGCCACCCCACTACTCTATTGCTGTGTCAGCGCAGCTGGGAGCAGGCCTTGCCCGCCCGGCCGTCCCCGGCTAGCATGCTGCCTGTTGAAGTGAAGGAGACGTGGATCTGCTCCCTATGCCTGGGGAGTTGGCATGGACCCCAGTGATGTGGGCCTCGGGTTCTCTCTTGCAGGGAAGATTGATATGGTGAAGTCAAAATGGGGCTTGGCCCTGGCGGCAGTGGTGACAGTGCTCAGCTCGCTGCTCATGTCGGTGGGTCTGTGCACGCTCTTCGGCCTGACGCCTACACTCAACGGAGGGTAGGTATCCAGGAGTAAGAGTGTTGCTAAAAGAAGGGACATGGGGAGGGTGGGCACTTACCTGTCCTATGGAAGCTACTTAGCCCCTTGTGTTGGGGTTGTAGGATTTTAGACCATGCCCACCTCATTTCTGTATCGCCTGGCTTTGCTTCTTCAGGACCCTGGTGGGCCAGACAGCACCTCGCGGTTAGTGAACTAGCGTAACAGTCTTTTCTCCTAACATCAGTGGCTTGACGCTTAGACAGCTCCTCTTCCCCCAGTCACCATGGCCGACACGCCCGTGGGAGAAGCCAGCTGTGAATCAGGGCAGGAAGCTGTGGGTCTTTGCCTTCTCTGGCCGAGGTTTTCTGTGTCTTGCTCAGTGAGGTGGGGGGCCTTGTGGAGCTCGGGGCTGATGTGGACCAGCAGGGAGGGCTCTGGGGCCATGACTGGTGGGGATTATTAACTCCTCCGGGTGGAGAGGGTGTCCATGCACGTTGTGAGCCAGAAATTGGTGACCTCCAGGTTGGGTCACTGCCCTTTGATGTACCGAGGTGGGAAGCTTCCTGCTCTAAGTAACACACGACCTTGTGAGTGCCTTGCCCAGGGGCTCGCTCTCCTTCCTGGTTTCCTACGGAATGCAATGCCCAAGTTAAGTCCACTGGAGAGATCACCTCTCCCTCCAGCACAGCCACCCCCCTTGCCAACATTAAATATTCTGACAGCGCTATAGAGCTGTGATCTGTTTTGTCTCCAAGCCTGAGGCGTGGGGATCAGTTAGTACCTTCTGAAGGAGTGGATGAGAGAGACCTGGCTACCTAGTAATGACCTTGAAGGTTTAGCGTAGACTCCACCCCACCAGCGTTGGCTGGTTATGCTCTGTGCCGCGCAGCACTCTTCTCTTGTCTGTCACTCTCTCTCTCTAGCACCTTCCATCCCGGAGGGACCCAGAATGCTTTTCTTACACACAGCCTTGTGTCTTATACGACCACTCAGGGGGCTGACAAAATTCAGTTGCTTAATGGCAGGGTCTTTTAATAAAGTTGGAGCTGAGTTCTCCTTGCTGGATTGGCCAGGAATTTGCCCAGAAGTGATGTGTGGGTATTTGTGAAATGCAGTTTGTGTATGGCAACTTTTGACGGGAAGTGAAGAGAGCGTTCTATTCAGCTGAAACTACAAGAGCATGGTAGGCAGGCAGAATATAATTGCTGGAGTGAGAATTAGGCCAGGACTCCAGGGCTAACACATTTGCTGAAAAAAAAAATGCTGGGAGCTCTTTTAAGTCAAACCATTAGTGGCTCGGATTTGGGACTTACCTGAAAACAACATCTGTGACTCCCATGCTGTGGTAACTGTCTAGTCCAGAGGCTGAGGGATGCGCTCCCTCAACTGAATCCCCAACAGCATTTCCAGGTTGCCTCCTGGGAGCTCTCCTGTCTCAGTACTGGCCCAGCTTAGCTTGTGAGATCTGTCAAGACCACAGTTGGACGTGGTGTGATTGCAGACTTCAAGAGATAGCGTCCTGCAAACACCCAGCGCATCCAGAGGATGCTCTATAGCGGGCATGAGGGGATGGGTTAGGGATCTGTGACAATTCAGATTAATATTCCCCTGGTCACGTTACAAACAATACTAGAGGAAGTGATAACTCAGCTGTTTTCCAGCCCTTTGTCCTCTCCTGTCCTCTTCCTTTTGGGACCTCCCAGACTACATGTAATTTATGGTTCTTCAGACACAGAATGTGCCAAAAAATCCACCTGCAGCCCCAGTGCCTGCTCTAGAATCAGAGCTTTAATTAAACAAAAGATAGTTCCAGCCCACATGGTGGTGAAGATAACCATAAAAGCATAACCTGAATTTAGCCGAGGCTGGGAAATCTACAGGCAGCCTGGAACAAGGGCTTTGAGGGCTGTGAACTGCCCCTTCGTTTCAATTAGGTGTTGACTTTGAAGATGGTAACTGTTAAATATTGCCAGTGTTGGCTGTCTGCTGGTTGTTTTAGCAGCAACCGCCAGCCGCCAATCTTCTCCCACGATCCCACACTGTTCCCGAAGCCTTTTGGGGTGAGCAAAGTCTCCAGTACCCCCTTCTGCTTGCCTTGGCAGCTGCTGTGATGGACTTACGGGCTGCTGGTGCAAACCTCAGCAGCGCGTCATGAAATACAGGTGTGGGGACGGCGTAGAGTAAACGGGATTCCTTGGGAAGCTGAAGAATGTGCTGCATTGGCGAGCGCTGCCGTGATAGAGAGAGGGCTCTAGACCATGCTCCCTTCTCCCTGGCCTCCTCTCCCGTGTATTGCTTGCCACACTTTCTTACGCAAGCATTGCGAGGCCATTGGCCAGGGCCTGTGCGATTCCCTCGCAGTGACCTTCAGAGCGATTCCCTCACAGTGACCTTCAGACTGTGACCATGCCCCTGCGGCTCTCAGCTAAGTCTGGTGTGAGTGCAGCACCCCCTCTCCTGGCACAGCTCATTGGCCAGGGCGCTGAGGCCTTTGGGTCACACCACTGCTGGCTGAGAGCTCAGTCGCACAGCTTGTTTTGCACACTCGCTCCCATTCGCTGGTGGCTTGCGCTGGTGCAGCCGGGGACAGGATTGTGACTGTCTCGTGCTCAGACACAGTGCCCATGCTGCTGCCGTGTTTGTGTAACGGATCAGTTGGGGCGAGAGAGCAGGGCCAGAACCCTCGCTTCCCAAAACGCAGAGTTCGACCTTGCGGGGGGGAGCACGACGACAGGAGCGAACTGGTCTGCCCTCACACGTGTGTGGCTGCCGCTGAAGCCGGTGGCAGCTGCTTGTGGACAACCAAGGGCAGCGTGTGGTCCTTAGGGCTCAACGCAGGTAGCAGCCGTAAAATCAATCACCAGGATTGCTTTGCCTCCAGCCCCATCGCTTAGCTAGCCTGCCTCCTGCTGCATTCCTACCTCACGTGGCCAAGGCTTGTCCTGCTCAGGGACATGGATTCTGAGCCCCTGCAGGGGATCCATGTCTGTGGATGAGTCTGGCAGACGATGGCGGAGGGCTAGATGGAACCTGCCACTCTCTGCAAACCCTGGGTACTGGCCTTATGCTCGGAGCAGCTGCGCCCAGCCACTGGGAGCAGCCTAGAGCGTAGTGGCTGTAGGCGCCAGGCATGACTGGAGGCCCAGTAGGGACCATGGAAAATTGTTTTGAAAAAAACTAACTCCCTATTCGCTTTCAAACCTGGCCTCAAAGCCCTCCCTTGCGGGGCGCTGCTTGGCCCAGGGTAGGTGGTTGCTTATGCTGCTCAGAATTGTCTTGGTTCTTTGCATCGCCCCACCTGTTCCCAACTCCCTTCTCTGGAGCCGGTGGTGGCCGTTTGAGAACCCTTCTGAGAAGTTGGTGTGTCTCCTCACGAGGCAGGCAGGTTGTAACTAGGGATGTTAAATATCAGTTAATTGAATAGTCGATTAACCTCACAAATTCTTATAGATTAGTCAACTATTCTATAGTCGCCGGGGGTGAGGCCAGGAGCAGCCCCTGTTCCGGGGGGGACTGAGCTCCCAGGCCCAGCACGAGCTGAAACTGAGCCGGGCTGCTGGCCAGCCTGCTAAAAATGTATTGGCATGAGGGTCCGGAGGGGAAATGCGTGTAGTCTATAGAATTAACCTATATGCGTTTGCTTATCGGTTAGTTGACTGCACTGCTATACCCCTAGTTGTAGCTGCTCGCACTGAAGCTGGGTCAGGACACTGGCAGTTTCATGATATTGGCCTATAGAAAGGCTGCAAGGGGGGCTGGTGGCCTCATGGGCCATGGAGCCTTTCACTCTAGATCACTAGTTCCATGCTTGGCCAGTGATCAAAGGGGGAAAGGAGCAGTGAGTTCTGGGGGTCCATGTTGCTGCAAACCTATTCCCCCTACAGCGAGCTAGCTGCCAGGCTCAGCAGGGAGGCCTGGATCTGACCTGGGCTGCCTTGTAGCATAGGACACGATCCCTCTGGTGCAGCAGGGAGACTGAGGCAGGGCAGAGCAAGTTGGTACAGCGCAAGCTCCAGCAGGTCTGACGTCGCTTTCCAGGAGGCAGCTCGGCAGCACTCGCTGATCACCGACAAGTGACACAGATAGTCTGAAGGGATTTCGTTCCGTGGCGGGAAGGGCGGAGTTAGGAAACCCCACTCCCAGGCCTTTAGTGCCCATCCAGCTGGCACTGCCCTCCTCTGACTCTCCCTACTGGGCCAGGCTGCTTCCTCTTGCGTCAGCCTCCATCTGCATCGCACTGTCCTGCACAGACGGCTTCCCCCGGCTTCGGGCATCCTTTGGGGGCATTCCCCAGTGTCTGATTGTAGCAGGGCTGAGGCTTTGCAGTGGCAGCTGTAGGGTAAGGATCCTGCTCCCCGGGCTCTCGCTGCACTGCTTTGGTTTGGTTAGTGGAAGGATTGCCTGGGGTTCTTCGATGAGGTTTGTACTGGCGCCTGGGTCTGACTCTTCCCCAACTTGCTCATTTTCATTTACTGGCCGTTCATGATCAACCTTGTTGATCAAAGCTCTTACCCTGCCTGAGGGCCCTCTGGGTGAGGCGCTGCACAGAAACAGAAGGGCACGATCCCTGAGCTTAAATCTCACGTAAGGATGGCACGTGATGCTCAGCCTGTAGCAACGCAGCATTGCCAAAACTTTACCCTCCTTCCGAGCCAGACAGGACGCAGCCTCTTATCAGGTCCCAGAACAGCTCTGTGTGAAAGGGCCCCTTCTGGCAGCTCGCGGGCATATCGAATGAGAGCCCACAACCAGCCCTGCCCTGCACTACGCTGAAGGGCATTTGGTGCTCCCTTGTGTCTCACGCTTGGCTCTGTTTTCCTAGGGAGATTTTTCCGTACCTGGTGGTGGTGATTGGCCTGGAGAATGTGTTGGTTCTCACCAAATCGGTTGTCTCCACACCCGTTGACCTGGAAGTGAAACTGAGGATCGCACAAGGTACCTGTCTGGCTGTGGCAAGAGGAAAATTCCCATTCTCCTGGACCCCTGCACTGAGGGATGTGTGTCCTGCACTCTGGGAGTAACGGCCATTTCAGCGTGATGCTGGTTGGCTCCAGGAGTCCGTGCAAGCCCATCAAGTGCTGTTCTTGACACCAGGAACACAGCCACGGTTCACCCATGCTATGTGAGCTGCTGTGAAATAAGCACTGGCAGGTGGAAGGTCGCAGCATCTCCTGCTAGGGACCATTAGTGCCATGTCGTCTCACGGCATGAGTAGCCAAAGTGCCTCCTATAGGCCTCATGGCCCCATGAGGTTCTACAGTAGGGTTCCTGTCTTCTCTGTGGTGCAGTGCCTCCTGGGGCTACGTCGTCCAGCATGCCAGACTGCTTAGCTCAAGGTGGAGCCGTGCACGCTGAGGTAGTACAACAGGCTATGCTGATTGGGGCACTATTACAAGGAAAGCGAGTGCACGCCGCTCTGCACGTGTGTCTGTCAGGCAGTGGGAATGTCTCGGGGTTGAGCGTGTTATCAGCCAAAACCATGTGACGAATTTGGCATGATCCCTTGCACCTTATTCAGGGACTTGTACTCCCTTTATGGAGTGAGGGGCAAAAAAGAGGGCTCGCCCATATTTTTGATGGATTGGCTCAGATCCAGAGCTCCCTGGACTACGAGGGTTGGTCTCTCCAGGTAGTTAAATAAATTAATTTTTTCTAACCTTAGAGACTCCTGTCTCCAGTAATAATATACATAATCCTGCTTTGCTGCCTGGGTCTCTTGAGTATTATCCCCATTTTACAGATAGG